GCGGCAAGGGCGGACCTCGAGGCGGCTCCTGAGGTGGTGCGCTGCTTTCGGTGTTCTCGGGCTCCGCCGGTGAGTGTGACAAGAGCGGCTGTCCTGCTGTGGACTGGGGCGGGGGCGCGAGGCCGCCAGAGAGTGGTAGGTGTGTAAAAGCCGTGTGTGACCAACACGTCAGGGCCATGCGTGAGTAAGCGGAGGGCCCCCGAGCTGGCGGGTGCTCCGCCTGAGAAAGTTCTGCGTGTGCGTGCGTGTGTGTGTGAGAGAGTGTGAGAGAGAGCGACTGAGAGACTGAGAGACTGAGCGACAGACAGCGGCACTGACACACAGACAGGCCCCAAGGACAGGCACTAAGGGCGGCACAGAGACACAGAAAGCCGGGCGGGCGGGAAGGGCGCGGGCCGCGAGCGCCCTGAGGCGCTGCTCTGCCCCGCGAGGAAGCCTCCGAAGATGGCGGGCGGGCGGCAGGCGGCGGCGGGAGCGGCGTGGCCTGAGGCGGCGTTCGGCTCGCGGGGTGTGGAGGAGGAAGCGGGCAGCCTCTGCCTACTAGGTAGGCAAGAGGAGACCCACAGCTAGGACTTAGCGTATTGTTTTACATCTGTTAGTAACTGATGTTAGTGACCCTTAAGTTTACCTTGCGCGGGACTTCCACGGTGCTAGCCATGCGGTCACTTTCTACCTGGAAAGAGTGACGTGACTGATAGCTGGGAAGGCGAAAGCTACTTGAAGCTGTGCGCTCAATGGGAAATATAGCAGTGAATTGTGATCCCTGTCTGGAGTTTGCACTAGTTTTATACAAAAGTAGGCCTGGTTTTGGACGCTTGGGTGTTATTGTGTGCGGACCGCAGTGGCTAGCGCGCCTGGGAAATATGTTTAAATGGAGGTTTATTAAATATGTTAAAATGAGATCCCAAGAAACTTTGCTCCTTGTTCAGAAGTAACAGCTCCACTTCATGAACTTGCAAATCTTTCAAATTGGTGCAAAATTTAGAAGAATAAAGTAGAACCTAGCAAAGCCAAGAGATAAAAATCTGCCGTTGCTAAGTCTTGTAAAGCCTGTTTTTGCTCCACCCAGGGACTTACCTAACAGGACCTTATTATTCTTTTGCTGTTTGTTTTCTTATTTTCCTCTAAATGTGGGGAAAAAATTGCAGGAATAATTTTTATTATTGATTATGGGAGAATTGCGTTATTTTTTGAATTCGTGTTTGAACAAAATGAAATAAGGAGCCAGCTAGTTTCTTGTTGTTTTTTGTTTTATTTTTAGGTTTTTAAAATATATTTTGTGCAAGGTCTCACTACGCAGCTTGAACTCTTAGTGAACCTCCTGTTTTCAGCCTCCATGCACTGGGATTATAGGCATGTGCCTCCATGGTTGTGGCCTCAGCGCAACCCGGGGCCAGGGCTGGTGTGCCATTTGGTGCTGGGGAGCAGTCTGTGTCCCTGTGCCATTTTTTTGTTTCTTGTTTTGTACCTGAAATCAGACCTTGACTTGCAACCCCCCTCCCCCCCAAAAAAAAAAACCCAAAAAACAAAAAACAGTCCCCTTGCCTTGTGCTTGCCATGCAGGAGCTTGTGAAGTTGAGCTGTATCCCTGGTCCTAAGAGGTTGGATGTTTTATGTAATTAACTCTTGAAATGATTGTGAATTTTTTTTTTCTTTTAAAACTAAAATTGCAAGCAATGCCTGCCACAGATATACATGCTTCACACTGAGGGAGCATTGTGGAGCTGGAAATTTTTAATCCTCCAGGGCTCTGGCAGGACAACTGGTATTACGGTCTGCATATTTCAAGTGAAATTTAAGGTGGACTGTTCCTGCAGCTGAGTGGCTTGAGGTATAGCTGTGACAGAGGACTGTGGGTGGACAGTGCTGGGTGACACTAGCAGACAGTATGCTAAGACCAGGAAGGGGCACTGCACTTCTCTTATCTCAGTTGCTTATTTTCTTACCCAATAATTCTCTTTCAAGTTTTCACCTTGTGAATGGTAATATTTCTCACAGGAAAATACACATTTTTTAAAAACAATTATTTGGTACTGGGTCATGCTCTGCAGCTCAAACTCATAGTGATCCTCCTGTCTCAGCCACCTTGTTATGGATTGTGTCTAGTTGTCCCCCTAAAGCCTCATGGGGGTAGCTTCTGGAGTTTGTGATTGATTATTGATCCAGTGCTGGGATTAAAGGCGTGAGTGTTACACCCGCCCTGGGGCGGGTAATCTCCAGTACAGTGTCAGGAGGAGAGAGAGGCTTGTTAGTTGCCTGAGCTGCTGCCTCTCTTTCTTTGCTCTTTGCTGCTGCCGTGAACTGCTGCACTCTTCCATGTGCCACTCTGTCTTGGAGCCAGCTGAGTATAAACTGAAACCTCCACTGTGAGCTAAATAAATCTTTCTTTTTTTAATTTTGGGTAGTGGGAATTTTGTCTCAGCAGTGAGAGAAGAATAACTGAGATACTCCCCAGTGCTGGGATTACAGATATGTGTCACCACACATGGTTTCTGGGGCTGGCATGGCACGTGGTACTAGGAATTGAACCTAGGTCCTTGCACTTGCCAGGCAGACACTTAGACTGCTGAGCTATCTATCCAGCCAGGAAAAAACTTTTAAATGTTTTGAGGCCAGCCTTTGTGTCTCACACCTGTAATCCCAGAAATCAGGAGGCTGAGGCAGGAGGATTGCTTCAAGTTTGATGCCAGCGTAAACTACCAAGTGAGCTCAAGGCCAGCCTGAACTGCATAGTGAGACCTTGTCTCAAAAAGACAAAAAAACAAAAACAAAAAAACTTGCAGTGATGTGGAGCCCAGGTGCCTGCTAACCAACACGTATATATTGAAAAATTTGTGCATATGATGTATCTTCAGAAATTTAAGAAAAAAAGCACAACAGTGCAGTGTTCCTTGCTGCAACTGAGATAAGAGAATGCACATTTTCCTACTCTCTTATTTTTTATTTTATTATTATGTTTTAATTTATGTATTTGGTACAGGGTCTCACTATGCAACTCAGACTTGTAGTTGATTCTCCTGTTTTAGCACCCCCAGTGCTGGGATTACAGTTGTGCACCACCATACCTGGACTCGGTGGCCAGCTCAGCGTGCCCAGGCATGGGGCCAGAGTGGCATGTGGTGCCGGGGATCGAACCCTGGTCCCTGCACTTGCTTAAGCAGGAGCTTGTCTGCTGAGCTATCTCACCGGTCCTCTCCCTTATTTTAAATGCAGTCATGTTTCTTGGAAAGACCTGATGGAGGGAGATTCCCCAGGCTGAAAGTGCCTTGCAAAGGCCTGAAACTGTGTGAAGACAAAAATAAGACTTGCTGCATAATTATAACTTATTCCTGTTTCAGGAATGTTTTTAGTTTTGTATGTTCCTTTTCTTTAAGCTTCTGTTTGTTTGTTTGTTTGTTGCTTCAGGACAGGCTTTTACTGTGCAACACAGTCACAGGTGTGCAGCACCATACCCAGCTGTTGTTCACTGAGGTTTTTGTTTTTTTTCTTTTAAATTTGTATTTTAGGGAAGGGTCTTCAGGATGTTCAGGGTTTCACTACTAGATTGGCCTCGTAGTGATCCACATGTTTACAGCCTCCCAAGCACTGAGATTACAGGCGCATGCCACCAAGCCCAGTCTCAATTGCCATCTCAGTGTGCCCCAGGTGGGGGGTCAGCATGGCAGACCCAGAGATCGAACCCCTGGCTCCTGTGCCAGCTTGCAGGTGCTTTAATCTGCTGAGCTATTTGGTCGGCCCTCATTAAGTTTTTGGTTTTTTTTTTATCTTTTTGAGACAGGGTCTCCCTATGCAGTTGCCTTGAGATCACTGTGCATCCCAGGCTGCTCTCGAATTCCCAACAATCCTCCTGCCTCAGCTTCCCTAGTGCTAGGACTACAGGGGTCATTAAGTTTTGACAATAGATTTTATTAGTATAGTATATTCTTACAGTACATAAGTTTCTCTTGGGGAACTGGCACATATGAATACTGTATTTTAATCATCTCCCCCCATTGCCAGATCACCCTCCTGTTTCCACAAAGTCATGTGTTGGAAAATTCAGCAATTCTGCTGTCCTGCAGTCACAGAGGTGATCTGTTTAATTATGCCAGAAGACATTCAGGCTACTTTGAGGGTCCAAATCCTGTTTGTTTTTGCAGTGAGCTCTTTTCTTTATTTTTTTTTTAACACATGGTCTCATCATACAGTTCACCCTGGTCCTGTGTTCACTTTTGGAGCTGTCAGCCTAGTCCCAAACTCGTAGCCATCCTCCTGTCTCAGCCTCCCAAGTGCTGGGATTATAGGCATGCGCCACCATGCCTGGTTCTGAACATCAAATTTTGTCTCTGTCAGACTGTATCTAAAGGAACGAATCCTCTCCGTGTGTCAGCAGAAGCCAGCCTTGAATCTGGCAGAGTGTGGCCTTGGCAACCTGTGATCTGCTCTTGCTGCCAACCATGGAAAGGGTGGGACTTTGGCGAGCCTGTGCCAGCAGCCTCCCAAAGCCACAGAACAGTGAGGTTAGATTCCCTTTGTGGTTGCTGCCAAAGCAGAACTGAAGTTTGCCTAAGCCAGTGATAGTGATCCTTTTGACGAGAGCCCAAACTGCAACACAAAACCCACTTACTTACCACACAGTGCTGAAGCTGCAATTAAGCCTGAGTACCCAACATTTAGTTTAGACAAAACAACCGCTGTCTGGTGCTCAGCTGCCAGGGTGGCATGGCTTGTGTGCTGACACTGAGGGGCTGTCCGTGCCTGCTGTGGCACGCGTGCCATAGGTTCAACACTACTGGATTAAGCTGACCCCTAAATGATATTACCTGTGGAGACTCTTTTGTGCTTTGCTTTTTCATTTTATATGTGATTAAGTAAAACTTGTATGGCAGAGGAGGATTTGATGAATTGGAGTAGAGAGAAGAAGGGCTTAGATTTGGCTCTTTTCTAGCAGAAGAGGGATTGAAACCAGGGGTTCTCTACCACTAAGCTACATTCCCAGAGCTTTATCTATTATTTTTGATTTTGAGATAAGGTCTCTCTAATTTGCCCAAGCAGGGCTCAAACTTGCAATCTTGCCTTATTCTCCTGAGTAGCGGAGGACATGTATGTGCTGTCACACCTGGCCAAATTAGTCTTTTTAAACATTTTAATTCTTTTTACAAGTACGTGCTTTCAATTCACAAAGTTTACAGTCACTTGGGGGGGGGGCTCTTCTGTGCACTTACTACAGCTTTTATTTCTAATCCCCTTTCTTTCTTCTGTCCCCTCCTCCTCAATTTTCCCTACACCCTTTTTCGTACTTGGTGGCATCATCTGTCTTAGCTCATGTTGTAGCCTACAGTGTCTACAGTAATTGGGGTAATTAGGGTCCGGTGCTCGGCACTTCTTTAGTCCACTCATCTCCCTTCCCCTCCTCCTCAGCCCTCTCCTTGTTCCCTTGGGCCCTGTTCCTATTGCAGGAAATTTGTCCCCCTGTGCCTTTCTATCCATCCTTTGTTGTTTTCTTTGTTTGTACTTAGCCCCACTTAAATGAGGTATACCTTGCGATATTTTAAACTTGAGTGT